TCAGCCCCAAATAATAACGTTTTAATTGAACAAAATTAGTGCCTGGTGTCAGTGGTTCACACCTTGTGAACACCTAGTTCCTCAGTAGCCTGAGATTTGAGGCTGGTAGTTCAAAGGCAGAACAGGAAGGGAAGTCTGTGAGACCCTTATATCTGTGAGACCACAAAATGCTAGAAGTGGAGTTGTGGCTCAAATGATAAAGTGTTAGTGTTGAGCAAGAGTGCTCAGATACAATGCCCAGGCCCTGGGTTCAAGTCCCAGAACACCATCAAATTAAAAAAAAATGTATAGTGTCTGAATTTTATAAAATACCCATAACTTAGAAATCAACAGAGGGCAATTTGGTTTCCTCTTGAGGTAAAGAGGGCCAGATCTTTCCTAGCAATTATTTTCTTTCCCATTCTTGCTCCATTGGGATTAGCAAGTCCTTAGCAATTAAGATCCATGGATCAACTTGAATAAGAAGCAGATCTGAACATTGAGCTTCCACGTGAGCGGGGTATAAGAACCCATTCTCCAGCTCTGCCCTGCAATTGGCTCCTTGTAGCCCATGTTCTTTGTGGCAGTGTGTTCTTCTGCCAGGCTCATCAGCAGAATAAGAGGACTCCCATGTAGTCCTGTCTTCCTGCCAGACCTGAGCACTGAGCTGAGCATCTCATAGGAAGCAGGGCAGAAAATGACAGTGTTCTTTGGTCTCATCCCAGCAAAGACCCAGTGCAACCCAGTAAGTGCTACTTGACCCACAGATGGAGGAGGGATGACCATGCTGAGAGCATAGCTGGGGTAGCTGGATGGGAGGGGTACCTGGAGGCAGGGTTTATCTCACAGGCCTAGGATGTTAATATTTTGACTTACAGTAATGGTGTGAGGACTCCAATTACTGCTTCTGTTTGCCTTCCATACTTGTTCCAAGTTATCAAAGAATCTCTCCCACCAGAGTAGGATTCAGAAGCTCTGTCATGTCCCCAACCTCCAAAATAACTGTGATGATGATGATGACCTTAACCATGATGTAATAAACCTTTACCTAGCCCTTCCAAGTCCAGGATTCTCCGTTCACTTTCTTCATGGAGTGGCAATTAAAATGATAAATCTGTGTCACTGCTCCTTTCTCCATGATAAAGAAAACAAAACGCGCACACACACTATCATTTTGACACATTTTAGAATAGGAGAATCAAGTGTGTGTGTGTGAGTGTGTGTGTGTGTGTGTGTGTGTGTGTGTGTGCTGATCCTAGGAGCTGTCACTGAGATTTTTATAAAATACATTTTTTGGTCATTATAAAAATTATGTTTAGGGGTAGTTAAGTTTCATAAGTCAGGTAATGAGTATGGAGGGGTTTTTTTTGACAGTGTCATCCTTTCTCATATCCCTGAAGTTTTTCATTCAAGGCTGGCACTCTGCCACTTGAGCCACAGTCCCAAATCCAGCTCTTTGCTGGCTAACTGCAGAGAAGAGTCTCAGGGACTTTCCTACCTGGTCTAGCTTTTTCTTTTTTTAATTATTATTGTGAAAATACCGTAAAGAGGGGTTACACTTACATGGGCAAGGTAATGAGTACATTTCTTATCAACCATTGTTGCCTCCTCCTTTGTTTCCCCTTCCCATCCCTTCCCATCCCATTCTCCCTCCCGCCCCTGATCTAGCTTTGAACCGTGATCCTCACATCAGCCTCTTTTGTAGCTACAATCACATGCATGATCCACTGATGGCTAGCTGAGAATTGATTTTTTTGTAATTTTTATTATTGTTCTGATATTGAGTAGAAGCAGCACGTGTGAACGTCAACAGCAAGGACCGATTGTCATCGGTGCCTGTCTCTTTCCTACAGATCCAATGTGTGATTTCTGTGCCTGTTTCCCTGGGCCAGGCTTATCCCTGTGTCTTTCCCTTTCGGTGTTTCTTACACCACAGAGGAGATCTGTGGGTGTCCTTGCTGTAGCAGCTGCAGGAGACATGGCTGGTATTACAGGTGGAGCCACAGAAGGTGTTAGCACTGGGATAATTCAGAGCATGTATGTCTCTTCCCTTTGCCCCTAGATTTTTCCTCTGCTGCTCGGCGATTTTCACCCTATGATTTCATCCTGTTGCTCATCTCTGAGGGATCTCTGTTGGGTGTTATTCTGAGTCAGACAACAGAAAATATTTTTTTTAATATACAAAGCCTTTGCCCTAATTATTTTTTGTGCCACTATTGGGGCTTAATCTTAGGGCTTTGTCTCTGAGCTTTTTGGCTCAAAGCTGGTATTTTTCCACTTTATCCACAGCTCCTCCACCTCTCTCCTTCTCCCTCTGTTCCTTCCTTCCTTCCTTCCTTCCTGCCTTCCTGCCTTCCTTCTTTCCTTCCTGCCTTCCTTCCTTTTTTTCCTTCTTTCCTTCCTTCCTTCCCTTTCATTGTTTCATTCTTTGGCCTTACCAGTTTATCCACAGCTCCTCTATCTTTCTCCCTTGCCCTCCATTCCTTCATTGCTTCCTTCCTTCCTTCTTTCTTCCTTCCTTCCTTCCTGCCTCCCTTCCTGCCTTTCTTTCTTCCTTATCTTTTATTGTTTCATCCTTTTGCCTTCTTCTCTTGTTGATTTACTGGAGATACAAGTCTTACAGTATTTTCTGCTTGCTCTGACTTCAAACCACCATCCTCAGATCTCACCCTCCTAAGTAGCAAGCATTACAGGCACAATACCCATCAGCATTCAGCTTGGAAAAACATTTCTTTTTATTTTTTTCATTTTCTTTTATTGTGAAAATACCATACAGAGGGGTTACAATTACATGAGCAAGATAATGAGTACATTTCTTATCAAGCATTGTTGCCTCCTCCTTTGTTTCCCCTTTCCATCTCCCTATCTACCCCACCACCACCCTCCCCCACCTTCCCCTCAGTGCCAAAGTTGTAAAGTTGTAAAGTCATATGCTTTCCAGGAAGACAGGTTGAGGAAGCACAGTCCTCTGCAAGGCCCTTCCTCATCTCCACCCACTTTCCATGCCTCCCCCCTCCCTCCTTCTCTTTCTCCCTTCCTTCATCTTCTTTATCCTTTGCTCTCTTTCTTCCTCTTCTTCTGTTGCATTCTTCCTCTCCTTTCCTTTCCTTTCCTTCTCTTTCTCCTTTTCCCCCTTTCCTTCCACTCTCTCCCCTCTTTCCCTTCCTACTTTTTCTCTTTTCCCTTGCCATTCTTTTCTTCCTCTCTTCCTCTTTTCTTCCTTTTTTCCTTTCCTTTTCTTTCTTTCCTCCTTCTCTCCCTCTTTTCCTCCCCTCCCTTCTTTCCTTCCTTCCTTCTCTTTCTTCTTTCTTCCTTCATTCTGTTTTTGAATTTTTATTTTATTGTAAAAATGATGTACTGAGGGGTTACAGTTACACGAGTAAGGTAATGAGTACATTTCTTGTCGAGAATTGTTACTCCCTCTTTTGTTTTTCTCCCACTATCCTTACCATCCCTCCATCCCCCAAAGTTTTAAAGCTCATTTCTTTTTTGGGGGGGGGTCCGGTCATGGGGCCTGAACTCTGGGCCTGGGCACTGTCCCTCAGCTCTTCAGCTCAAGGCTAACGCTCTACCACTTGAGCCACAGCGCCACTTTCAGCATTTTTTTGCTTATGTGATGCTGAGGAATTGAACCCAGGGCCTCATGCATGCAAGGCAAGCGCTTTACCACTGAGCCACCTTCCCAGCTCTAAAATTCATTTCTGACATAGTGTCTTGTAGGTATCCATATTGCAATGGGTCATCCTGTGTCCTTGTTTCTGCATTTTGTTTTTCCCCTTCCCCTCCCCAAATTGGACAAATGTATATACAAGTTGCAGGGTACCATTATCAAGTACAGGGCCAACAGAAGATACACCATAGGGGGAAGAACATACAAAGGAAACAAAACAATCACATAGTACATTAAAAATAACAACAACAAAGAAGAACTGCTTGTGTCCATATCTTGGGGTTCATTTTGCTTAGCATCATCTTATATGGTCATATGTACATAGCTTTTGAGCTTTTCTGATCATCTGATAAAATTATTCTAGACTTATATTAATTATTGCAAATGAGGGAAGCAATGGAAAAACAACAATAAAGAAAATGAACAAACTATATACAGGGTCTAAGTAGAGCCTCTTTTTTCCAAATATTGGAGTTTGTGTTAATATGCTTCATTATATATAGTCCTTTGCACTAAGCATTTGAGATCCTGATATTCCCTGTTCATTGTATCTTCTCACATATGTGGGAGATACTCTTCCTTCATTCTTTCCTTCCTCTTTCCCTCCCTCCCTTTTCTTTCTTTTTACCTTCCACCATTTTCCCTCCCTCCTTTCTTCTTTCCTACTTCCTCTTTTTTCATTCTTTCCATTCTTCCTTTCCTTCCCTCCTCCTTGCTTCCCTCCCTCTTTGATTTTTCCTTCCACCTTCTTTTCCTTTCCTCCTCCCTTGCTCCTTCTATCCCTCTAGACTTCCTTTGTTTCTCTTTCTCCTCTCCTTTCTTACTTTCCTCCCTCCTTTCCTACATCCTTCCTTCACTCTTTCCTCCTTTCTCTTCATTCCTTCCCTTTCTCCTTTCCACCTATTTTATGTTCCTTCCTTCTGCCCTCTTTTCATCCCTTTTCCTTCCTTTCTCCCTCCCTCTCTTCTTTTCTTCCTATTTTTGCCTTCTTTCCATTTCTTCCTTTCTTCCCTTTCTTTGTTCCTCCTCTGTCCCTTCTTCTTGTTCTTTCTTCCATGTAGTACTAGAGGTTTGCCCAGGGTCTCAGGAATACCAGACAATCTCTATACCTCGGAAATATACTTCTATTCTGAAAGAGTCCACAAAATCAACCCACAGATGCAACTGCCTCTCCACATGAACATCCAGAAGGAACAATTAGGCTTCATTCTGACCATTTCAATACACAAGTCCAATGAGATTTTTTTTCTTAGTTGCATGAATGTAAAATACAGATAAATAGCTGGTGGTATGTATATTTCTTTATTGATTCCAATAATCTATCCTTTTTTTCAAAAGGTGTCCTAGCTACATGGAGACAAAAAACTTAACAAGGGTCTTGGAAATTCTCTTCCTGGGACTGACAAATGATCCAGAACTACAGTCTGTCCTCTTTGGTCTGTTCCTGTCCATGTACTTGATCACCGTGCTTGGAAATCTGATCATCATCCTGGCCATCCGGTTTGATCCCCACCTCCACACCCCCATGTACTTCTTCCTCTCCATCCTCTCCTTGGCTGACATTGGCTTCAGCAGCAGCACCATCCCCAAGATGCTGACAAACCTCTGGACACACCTCAAATCCATCAGCTATGCTGGCTGCCTAACACAGGTGGCCCTTTTTATTTGGTTTGGATGCTTGGACAGTCTGCTCTTGGCAGTGATGGCCTATGACCGCTTGGTGGCGATCTGTCAACCTCTCCACTACACACTTATCATGAACCCTCGCCTCTGTGTCTCCTTGTTGCTGCTGTTATTGTTCATTGGCCTTTTGGATTCCTTGGCTCAATGCTTGATGGTGTCACAATTTAACTTCTGTACAGATGTAGAAATTCCTAGTTTCTTCTGTAACACTCCTCAACTCCTTAAGCTTTCCTGTGATTATACTTCCACTAAGAACATCTTCATCTTTCTCTTTGCTATAGTCTTTGGTGGGCTTCCAGTCTCCGGGATACTGTACTCTTATGCTCGCATTGTTTCCTCTATTCTTGGAATTCCATCAGCCAGTGGAAAATACAAAGCCTTCTCCACCTGTGGCTCTCACCTCTCAGTTGTGTGCTTGTTTTATGGAACAGCCATTGGGGCATATTGCAGTTCAATTATTTCTGATGCCAACAGGAAAGTGATGGTGGCCTCTGTGATGTACACCATGGTCACCCCCATGCTGAACCCCTTTGTCTACAGTTTAAGGAACAGGGACATCAAGAGAGCACTTAAGAAGCTGGTGAGTATGACAGCCTAATAACTTGGGTCATGTTTTTGGGTTGGTACATCAAGGATGTCTAAAATACCAAGTACTTAAAACTGGAACCCTGTTTTTTCTTGTTTAAGATAAATTCTTATTTATCTTAAATATTGCTATTTCCTAGGATGGGTCTTAAATGATGATCCTCCTCTCTCTACCTCTTGCAGAGATAGGATGACAGATTCACAGTACCACACTCAGCATTCTTTTTAATTTTTTAAAGTTTTTTTATTGTGAAAATACTGTACAGAGGGGTTACAATTACATGAGCAAGATAATGAGTACATTTCTTTTTTTAAATTTTTATTTTTTATTATGAACATACTGTACAGAGGGGTTACAATTACATGGGCAAGACAATGAGTACATTTCTTATCAAGCATTGCAGCCTCCTCCTTTGTTTACCCTTCACATCTCTTCCCAGCCTCTCCCTATCCCCCCACCCAATCCCCCCCCCCAAAGTTGTAAAGTTCGTTTTCGACATGACAACTTGTACTTCTCATTGCTGTAACAGGTCCACAGTTATCCTAAATGACTTGTTTTTCCCCTTCTCCTCCACAAATTGTACCGACATCAAATATAGTGAAAGCAGGGGTTATTCTGTGGGGGAGGGACATACAAAGTAACAAAGAAATAATCTTATAAATGCGTTAGAAACAAATGCATGAAAGAAAAAAAAACATTTAAATACATATCTAAGGGTTCATTTTTCTAACATCACCTTATCTGACCTTTTCTGCTTGACTCAGACATATACTAGATATTGCAAATAAGGGAAACCATGGGACCTATGTTTCTTTGGGCTTGGCTTACTTCACTTAATATAATTTTTTCCAAGCCTTTCCATTTCCTAACAAATGGGACAATATCATTCTTTCTGATGGAGGCATAGAATTCCATTGTGTATATATACCACATTTTCTTGATCCATTCATCTATTGAGGGGCATCTGGGTTGGTTCCATTTCTTAGCTATAGTAAATAATGCTGCAATAAACATAGTTGTGCTGGTAGCTTTAGTGTGGTCTTGTTTGTAAACATTTGGGTAAATGCCCAAAAGTGGGATCATATAGAGCTCCCCTATGAGTACATTTCTTATCAAGCATTGTTGCCTCCTCCTTTGTTTCCCCTTACCATCCCTGCCATCCCATTCCCCCACCACCACCAAAGTTGCAAAGTTCATTTTTCAACACAACATCTTGTACCTCTCATTGTTGCAATGGGTCTGCCTGTATCCCTATTTAAACAATTTGTTTTTCCCCTTCCCCTCCACAAATTATTCCAACATCAAATACAGTGAAAACAGGGGTATTGGCCCTTGGGCTTGAATCCAGGGTCTGGATACTTTTCCTAACCTTTTTGCTTAAGGCTAGCAGTCTACTACTTGAGTCATAGCTCCACTTTCAGCTTTTTCTCGTTAATTAGAGATAAAAGTCTCATGAACCTTTCTGCCCACACTCATTTTGAACCATGCTCCTAAGAACAAAGCCTTCTGAGTAGCTAGGATTATAGGCATGAGCCCTACTATCAATCATAAAAGCCTTAATAGGATCTCACTGTTTAACCACACTTCCCTGACATTCAGCATAACCCACAATTTTTGGGTTTCTTGGTCTTGTGACACATATGCACAACTTGAGCACATATCCATCTGTCCTTTGAGAAGTACTACACTTGAGTTCTCAATTTGCAGTCTTGGATCTCTGAGAAGATATCCAAGGTAGGCTAGGATAAGCTCCTCAACCTTAAGCCAAATCAATCAACTCCACCAAGAATGAACTTCAATACCCAGAGTCCATTCCAACCTGCAAGCCTGAGGACAGATCTCACAATATATATAATGAAATGTGGAGCAATTTAAAGGCAAACAGCTTAACATCTTTGTTTATTTCATGCTTCTTGTATTACATTAGAATTTTATGCTTGTGATGGTGTTATTCTGATGTAGGTTTGGGGCACCATTGTCCATCATTAGCTATAGCTGGGTGGGTTTATTTCTAGGCTATTTTCCTCCATTCATTCCCATCCCATCCCATCATCATATTGGTGTACTTGTCTGGTTTTGTGATAATACAGTGCTAATTTGTCACCACAGTTCTGTTGTTACCACAGTTCTGTTGTCACCACAATTCCGTTGTCTAACTTGAAGTCAGGTATTGTGATACCTTTAGAAATGCTCATTTTTGCCTAGGACAGGTGTGATCATATGTAGTCTTCTGTGATTCTGTTTTAATCTTAGGACTGATTTTGCTACTTTGTATAAAGTGTTACTAGAGTGATAGAATTTCAGGGGAGGTGGAGAAGACAAAGGTAGAAAGGACGTGTAAGTGAATACAATCCCAATACTCCATGTACACACAGAGAAATGAAACTAGATAACTTGCAGGTATGTGTAGCTTGGGGTGAGATGGAGGAGAAGGATGGAAAGGGTGACATTGATTAAGATGCATTGTAATCATAAACTGATGTGTTGTATTGCATCCCCTTTATACAACTACTTAAAAATAATAAATAAATAAATAGTTTATCAGAACATCTGTAATACAGGAATATTAGTGCAAAGAGGAATGCTTATAACTAAGAATATGTATATTACAAATCAGAGGTAGCCCAGAGCACTCACTGGTTGCTCACTTCTGCAATTCTAGTTCACAGGGCGCTGAGAATTGAGGTTTACAGTTCAAAGCCAGCCTGAACAAGGAAGTCCATGAGACTCTTATCTCCAATTAACCACCACAAAATCAGGAAGGAGAGCTGTGGCTCAAGTAGTAGAGTGCTAGCCTTGAGTGAAAAAGTTAAGGGAGAATAAGTCAGAAGTGCATTTAGTCCTCAGGCACTGGTGGTTCTTACCTGTAATCATTGCTATTTAGAAGATGGAAATGTGAGGATCACAGTTGGAGGGTAGGCCAGGCAGGAAAGTTCTGTAAGACTCTTATCTCCAATTGTTCACCAAAAAGCCACCAGAAGTGGAGCTATCGTTCAAGTGGTAGAGTGCCAGCATTGAGCAAAATAGCTCAGGGACAACACACAAGCCCTGAATTCCAGCCCCAATGCAAGCACACAAAAAGTGCATTTGTCAGATGGAGTGCTTGTTCTTTGTGCTAGAGATTTAATTTACACAGCTAAATCCTAGAAAGGGGGTATAATTATCTATGGAAAAGGTTCCAATGTCAAACCTTCTGTCTCCTGAAAAGTATAGCATGATGCATGCAGACTGTAGACACATATTTGCTGTTTGTAATACTGAAGAACTGATTTACTGCTATTTATGTTCTGATTGATTCAAACAGACATGGTGATGTTCTTTATCAATACCCTTTTAGTGTATATTTATTGGACATTGGCATATCTTCACTTGACAAACAGGTTCACTTCTATTGCCCATTTATTGATAATTTGTTTTTTCTTTAATTTTTTGAGTGAAAGAATTGTGAGATGAATATCAGCCAAAAATTATGTCTCATTCTACTAGTTATGTTTTTATCATCATCATCATCATCATTTTGTTTTGCAGCAGCTTTTCAGTTGCTGAAGTCTCATTTGACAGTTCTTGCCTCTATTTTTGGCAAAACTGTGTTTTTTCATTTAAGAATTAATGACCTATGTCAATACTTTAAAATGTTTATCTTGTTTTCTTCTAGTGGTTCTATATTTTAATATCTTTAGTTAAGACCTTTCAGCTTCCAGGATTTGGTTTGTTTAGGATAAGATAGAACAATCTGCTTTTAAAGATACATGCTTTTCATTATATGTACAAGCTAGATTTAGCATACAAACTTCTAAGTAAATAAGTTGTGTGGTATACAAATGTATTCAAATGTGTTCAGTGAAATATGATAGATTCAAGGGAGCAAATGGCGCACATTCTTAGAAAGGCAAAGTCAAATTTGAGCAAAATCAAACACAAAGAATCAGGTATTGAAAGCAGTGAGGTGGGGTCAGGGGGAAAGAGGAAGACAAGTGAACAGGAGAAATGGGAGAATGCACACAAGAATCCAACATGAATCCTACAAATTAAGAAAAGTAAGAGAAGGGGTAGGTGAGGAAGAGATGGAAGAGAATCCATTAATATCAAGATATATACTATTCATAAACTTCTTTGTTAAGTGGCAAATCCTTGGCACAACTACTTAAAAATTTTACCAAAGAAAAAAAAGGGGGAAATCTGCTTATAATCTTCTACATGTAAATATCTGGTTTTCTTAATATTTCATGCAAAGACCTTTGTCTTCTCTACAACATATGTTTCCCTTTTTTTGCCAAGAACCACATGACTATACCTGTATTGGCTTATTTTTGTGACATCTCTTCTATCCAAACAGAATGTTGGTGTTTTAAAAAACATTGCTTCCCTTTACTTCTCAAAGTTTATATGTGCCAAGCAAGCACTATACTATTGAGCGAATTCCTCAGCCCACCTGGTTTGTATTTTGAAGACAGATATCTGTGAGATCCACACATTATTAAACAAATTTCCTAATACGTGTTTCAAAATAACCAATAGTGTATTGTATACACACACGTTGACTTGGAAGATAAAGGAGAATCTAGAGTGTTCAAATTAGTGGAAAATATTCATTACTGACACAGGTGATTTCCATTTCCAGGAGCCAAAGAAGAAAATATTATTTGAAATTCTTTTTTGAGTTATACACTGTGAAGGTGGGAAACAATGGAACTTGTATTTGATTCATAATATAGAACCAATTGTGTTCAGTCCATGTCTGATTTAACAGGTTCTGAAATATCCCACTTGAAGTATACAGAGATTTCCAAGCCTGGTTGCTCACAGCTTTAATCCTAACTACTCAGGAGACTGAGATCTGAGGCTCACAGCTCAAATCCAGGCCACACAGGAAAGCCTATGAGATTCTCATCTCCAAAAGCCAGAAGTGGAGCGGTGATTCCAGTGGTAGAGCACTGGCCTTGAGCAAAAAAGTCCAGGGACAGCTCTCAGTGCCTTAGTGCAAGCCATAGGAACTTCACACAAAATAAATT